GGCCGAAGCCAAGGCCAAGGGTCCGAAAAAGAAGAGACAAGACACGCCGTACAATGTGGAGAGGAAGAAGTTTTTCGCCAAGTTCCTTTCCTGCACTATTCTAAATCGAAAGTGGCATTGCAAGTTTCGATCATGTCCACTCTATTGACAAAGCTTCCTCAGGCTCCAGGAGAAATTCGGGCCCGGGATCCTGAATGCCAAGGACAAGCAGCTCAGGCTGGCCCGCAGAGACGCAGAGGGGTTAAACAAAAAGCGAGTGGAAACTTGGGCAGAGAGAGGGACTACTCTACTACTACTTCTACCACTACTACTACTACTACTACTACTACTACTACTACTACAAGTACTACTACTTCTTCTACCACAATTACTACTACTACTACTACTACTACTACTACTACTACTACTACAAACCCGAATTGCAATCCTCCTTCAACTCGGGTTCAATGCATCGGCAGGTGGATGGACTCCTTTGAGCGATCGGATATCCTGGCCACATTGGGTTACGATGCAAACGAGCTTAAACGCCGGCGGCTGTGAGTGCAACTCCCACCTTTCCTGGTAAGCCCTGGGCTGTTCGGATATGGGTCATACTGCTCTGCTACAGGCTCCTAGCTGTATGCCTAGCTGCACACTTACAGAAAATCCGCATGCAGCCCAGCTTTTGAGATGAGAGACAATGGCACGCAAGGGGTTTGCAGTGCTTTCAAAACAAGAATGCATGTAAGCTTTCAAGATGTACTTCAAGCTTGGCACGGGTCCTCGCATTGCCGTGGCCCTCGAATCTTGGCTCCATGCCTGAGATGGTTCGCATGTAAGCTTTCGGGAGTTGAGTTGGTAGCCTATAATCAGGCTTTAGGGTTTAGGGTTTAGGCTTTAGGGTTCTAGTTTGTGTCTATAGGCTTATTCGGGTTTCGGATTTCTGGTTTAGGTTTCGGGTTTGATAAATTTAGGGACGGCTTAGTGTTCAGAGCTTATTAGGGTTTTGGGTTTAGGTTTGGGGGCTCCAGGATAACAATTTTACACCTTATGGTTTAGGTTTTAGGTTTCGGGGCTCCAGGAAAACGTTGTGTGGCTTAGGGTTTAGGGTTTAGGTTTGGGGGCTCCAGGATTAACAGGGCTTCAGGACTCCAATAAACTTCGCTGCATCCCTGTCACAAAACCTAAGCCGAGTTTGGTGGCTTCAGATCAGGACTAGGCATGGATAGCCATGGTCGAGGAATGCTCCCGTGCATTATTGGGTTCGGAGGCTCGCACTGCCCCTTTTGCCGGCACGCTGTTGCTATTCTTCCAGGGCACTTGCAAGTACCTGTCATCTCTTAACTGACTGTTCCTAGCAATTTTGGCTCAATTCGACCTTTCATTATAAAACATGGAGGATGTGAAGACGAAGCTCCAGGCCATGGGGGCCAATTCCAAGCTCAAGAGACAGCTGCTGGCGATGTGGTGGAGGGGCTTCGCAGATCAGTCTCAGAACCTCGGCTCGATGGAAGACGGTGTACATGTTCGATTGTCCGACCTCTAGTATGACACGGGCTTTTCGGTCTGCTGTAGTGTGTGTTGCAAACCTAAGGGAGGTGTCATTCTCGGACTACTTGGAATACAGATCCTACGTGCTGGAGGTCGAACTTGAAACGTTGAGTTCTGATGCAGCGAAATTCTCGAGAACGAAAGAGCTGTTCTGGCTTCGACGTGTTTTGCCGTGCGATCTTGATTAAAGCACAGCACCGATGCAGTTTCCCAGCTAATTCAAACCCTGCCCGGCGATGTGTCATGCCACATAGATCGACGAGCAGACTGGGGATCAATTTGCTGCAAAAAAGCGACATGCAATGTCGGTCCAGGATAAGAAGTAGTGCCATCAGTCCTTGAATTTGGCTTTCGGAAGCAGTGGTCCCTCGATCTTATGGGTGGGATTATATCTTCTGGTCCTGGGAAAGTCCGAGGCAGGATTCGTCAGGGATGTGTAATGATTGGCATCTGTTGTTGGTCAAACTACTGATGCTGCTGCTGCTGCTGCTGCTGCTGCTGCTGCTACTACTACTACTACTACTACTACTACTACTAGTACTACTACCACAACTACCAGCAACCCTAAGCAAGAAGCCCTAGAAGCTTTATATCAACCCTATGAACCCTATAAACCCTTTTAATCCCTGATAAAACATCTCGATCCAAGCTGCCTGCTGGGCAGAACATCCCTGCCCGACCGCATCCGCACCCCTACTTCTAAACCTGTAATACCCTTCATGCAGGTCTCCTACGATTCCAACTGTGATCTTCGGCCTCGATGTCGAGGCCGTGGTGCCGCTTGCACAGACATGTACATGCACACATGTAACTGCCTAGACCTATATATTTGCACATATATATATATATATGAATCTAGATACACACATGTATACACACTAGCTACTGATATCTAGACAAGTATAACGAAGGACAACACATGTGTGTGCATGTATATGCATACATGGTTCATAGTAAGAGTATATACACACACATATATATATATATATGTACAGCTATATACACATATTAATATATACATATATACATATATATATATGTATATATATGTATAGTATGTGTGTGTTCATAGGTTTCTGGGATGTGATTGGGGCCTTGGGGATTCAAGCCTCAACTGTCCAGTGCATGCCTGTGGCAACACAACACTAATCTATCGAATCACTTTCTCCCCCGAACCTAGAACCCCAGCATACTTTAATCCCTGCCCCGAGCATATGAAAATAATGCCAAAGCCCCTGTCGCAGATCGCAGCAGTCGCCCGCAGCAGTCGCCGTCCAATGTTGCCTTGGGTAGCTAGCTATGTGTTATAAAGGCTTCGCAAAGACCCAAAAGCTCCTATACGTATAGCCAGGATAAAGATCCTAACACCCGCCCCGAGAGCCCCTAGCTCTAAAGCCACCCAAAGCTTTAAGCTTGAGTCTTATACAGGGTGTACAGGAGGTGGGCTTGTGGCTTCGCAGGCTTCTTTTTTAAAAGGTTTACCTATACTTTATAGGGCTTCAATTGCTTGGGGTCACGAATATATGTAGTCATATAGCAGTAGTAGTAGTAGTAGTAGTAGTAGTAGTAGTAGCAGTAGTAGCAGTAGTAGTAGTAGTCGTCGTAGTAAAGCCCAAACCCTTCTACTAAAGCCTTTGGGTTTCGGGTTGAGGGGTATAGGGTTTAGGGATTTAGGGTTAAGGGTTTAGGGTTAAGCCCTGAAGACCACCTCTCGCGAGGAGTTCGGGCATCTTCGTGCAGACCCGTCGACAATAAAGCAAAAGCCAAGCTCTGCCCGACGTAGCTCGGCCAAGAGTGATATTATGTGTGTGTGTGTGTGTGTGTTCATAGGTTTCTGGGATGTGGTTGGGGCCTTGGGGATTCAAGCCTCAACTGTCCAGTGCATGCCTGTGGCAACACAACACTAATCTATCGAACCACTTTCTCCCCCGAACCTAGAACCCAAGCATACTTCAATCCCTGCCCCGAGCATATGAAAATAATGCCAAAGCCCCTGTCGCAGATCGCAGCAGTCGCCCGCAGCAGTCGCCGTCCAATGTTGCCTTGGGTAGCTAGCTATGTGTTATACGTATAGCCAGGATAAAGATCCTAACACCCGCCCCGAGAGCCCCTAGCTCTAAAGCCACCCAAAGCTTTAAGCTTGAGTCTTATACAGGGTGTACAGGAGGTGTTGTTGTTGTTGTTGTTGTTGTTGTTGTTGTTGTTGTTGTACTTGTCGTAGTAGCAGCAGCAGTGGTGCGGGAAGATCGATGTAGTGGTAGTAGTATAGTATTCGAAGTATGGTAGATGCTAGTAGTAGTAGCAGCAGCAGCAGTAGTAGTAGTACTAGTAGTACTAGTAGTAGTAGTAGTAGTAGTAGTAGTAGTAGTAGTAGTAGTAGTAGTATCAGTAGTAGTAGCAGTAGCAGCAGCAGTAGCAGGAGTAGTAGTGCTGCTTGTACTAGTAGTAGTAGTAGTAGTAGTAGTACGTAGTACGTAGTAGAAGTCGCAGTCGCAGTCGTAGTCGTAGTAGTAGTAGCAGTAGTAGTAGTAGTAGTAGTAGTAGCAGCAGTAGTTGTTGTGGTTGTTGGTGTTGTTGTAGCAGTATAGACTCTGGGAGGTGTCTTATCATTGGTTGTGCTGAATATACATGCTTCACGATTTCTTGCAAGAAATACTTGCTCGCAGGCGATGCATATAATATGATGATCTGGAGGCTCAGCGATCATTTTGAGCTGCTTGGACTGTAGCTGCCTCGAATCTTGGCGATTACAATTGGATCTGTGCTGCATTTCTTCGGATCCGATGTATATATCCCTGGATCCGCTTTATTGGTCCAAGGTTGCGATGATGATGATCTGATTTCTGATCCGATGTATATATACGAGCTCCCTGCAGATTGCACCTACAGCTATCGATCACTCGCAATCTGTCATCATACACATGCAGTTGTACACGGTGTGCTCTCTGATAATTTCATCAGCGAGCGAAATAAAAAATATTTAATTTTTATAATTTTAATTACAAAACCCACCGACCGTGTACCGACCGTGTATCTGCGTGTAGTCGTTACCATAACACACAGTGCGACCGTGTATCGACGTGTATCTGCTAGCTGCAGAAATATGCAGTCCGAGATTCGATTCTTGGATGCCACGAACCGATCCATTGCCTGCCAGCACAGACGTGCATTGCATATTATTCTTATTATACATACAGTCGGGATCAAGCCGGGGTAAGTCTTTTCCAGGATGGCCCCCAAAAAAGCCGGTGTGCCCTCGAAGGAGGGTCCTTTTGTGGATATGTGGAAGGAGAATGGTCCCAACAGTTGGACCCACGTAGGCAAAGTTTCGCCGGGTACGAGCTTTAATGGTGTTGGAGGCTACTACACTGCAGACGACTTCAAGGTGGGGGGGGGTATCTGATGCAAACGTGTTACATTTGCCTCTTACAACTATACTGATGCATGTGTGCCATAAAACACATCGGCAGGTGACTGGGAAAGGCAAGAAGGGAAAAGGAAAGACGAAGCAAGCAGCAGAAGAAACCTCAGAAAAGGGACAAGGAAAGGGCAAGTCACAGACGAAAGGCTCAGCAGGAGAAGCCCCGCCCAAAGGAAAAGGAAAGACCAAGTCGCCTGAGAAAGGAGCAGCCGAGGCCACGAAGGGAACAGAAAAAGGTGCTGGAAAGACAGGGGCCACAGGAGAAACCCAGCCGAAAGGAAAAGGAAAAGCAAAGTCGCCAACGAAAGGTTCCGGAAAGCAGGAGGCCACAGCAGAAGAGGCAAAGGAGGAAAAAGGAAAGGGCGAGTCGCAGCCCAAAGGAAAAGGAAAAGCAAAGTCGCCAACGAAAGGTTCCGGAAAGCAGGAGGCCACAGGAGAGGACGGAAAAGGAAAGGGCGAGTCGCAGCCGAAAGGAAAAGGAAAAGCAAAGTCGCCGACCAAAGGTTCCGGAGAGCAGGAGTCCACAAGNNGAAGAGGCAGAGGAGGGAAAAGGAAAGGGCGAGAAGCAGCCAAAAGGAAAAGGAAAAGCAAAGTCGCCAACGAAAGGTTCCGGAAAGCAGGAGGCCACGGGAGAACAGGCAAAGGAGGAAAAAGGAAAGGGTGAGTCGCAGACACAAGACCCAGGAAAAGCCACGCCCAAAGGAAAAGGAAAGACCAAGTCGCCTTCGAAAAGTTCAGGAGTAGCCGAAGCCAAGGCCACAGTAGAAGCCGCTGAGGAAGGGAAAGGAAATGACGAGTCGCAGACGGCAGTTTCAGGACAGGCCACAGGAGAAGCCCTAACCAAGGTGAATGGAAAGACGACGTCGCCTTCCCAAGGGGCAGGAAAGCCTCAAGCTGAGTCAGGAGATGAAAAGCCGGCCCAACCCCAAACTTGCCAGACCCCGAAGGATGCCATAAAAAGAAGGCTTACTTGGGCGGATCAGAAAGGATCATCCGGCAGCAACACACCTGCACACAGTCATGTTCGCAGTCGATTAAAATATCGCGGGCACATGAACTGCATCGATCATCATCCAAGGCCTTGAGCCAAGTCCTACCCCAGTGTCGACGGCTTCGAAGTCTGATGAGAAGAGCCTCAGTCTGCATTGCCCTCCCAACATGCACCCTAAACCCTACGAGCTCTAATCCTGGAAACCCTAAAAGTTCTAGGGTGCAGGGTTTGGGCTGTAGGGTTTAGATTTAAGGTGTGCTTTTTTGCTTGAGGCTTTGAAGGGGCGACGGGTTTCCAAAATCGCCAAGCTGTATAGTGAACTGAAGAAAGTTCCATACCTGATTAAGAACAAATAAATAGTGCTGGGGTTCCCTTTGTAGGGTTTGATACAGTGTCGACGGGTTTCCAATATCGCCAAGCTTTATAGTGAACACAAGAAAGTTCGATGCCTGATTATAAGGACAACTAAATAGTGCTGGGGTTCCCTCTGCATTGCTTTTTAGGATTGAGGCAATTCTTGGCTTCTACTGTACAAGAACGAACCCATTTCTAAAGCCCCAGGGTTGCAACGGCAAACCCGCCGATGAGACCTAGCTTAGCCGAGCTATTCTAAACCCGGGCTTTCATGGCGATCTCGATATGCCTAAGTAAAACCTCAAAATGAAAGTCCCAAACCAAAAGCCCTGAACAACAACTTCATCCCGACTACTACTACTGCTACTACTAGTACTACTACTACTACTACTACTACTACTACTAACAGAACAACAACAACAAC